TATATATGTATATATATAGATAGATAGATAGATAGATAGATACTGTGGCCAGGCTCAAAACTTACCGGGGGCAGCAGGCCCTTCTTGACTTTTCGGTTATTAAATGGTGTGAGCAGCTTCTCCAGATAAAGACACACCACAAGCGTCAAGGCTGTAAAGTGGTGTAACTTTGTGAAGAATGCCTCAGTTGGCACGATGGTGTCAGCGGTGTTTAGTCCACTTTGCAGATACGCTTCACGGTACAGGTCTGAGGCCTGAGCGAATGCCTCTGGAAGTTCGGTATCTGTAGCGGCCGAAACTGCATGCAAGTATGTCGTAGGATGCAGGCGCTTGATTGAGTTTACATGATATGTAGTTGTATATTGATGAGCATTGGTATTTGTATATTCATGAGCGTATGTATTTTGTATGATAATGAGCCATATTCATAAGCACATGATCGATGATGTATGTAATCTCAATTTACAAAACAACTGCACTGTGTGGAACTGGGTTATGACTTGAGTCACGACCATTGAAAGTTCGGTATATGCGGCCGAGACTAAAGAAAGCCAACGAACATGCGCAGCAGGGTGTAAACATACTCTTATCCATGTATACACACACAGCACTTACCGCGGATGGTACTCAAGTGCAGTGATGGGTGTGCGAAAGCCACCAAGCACTTGAGTGCAGCCTCGCACGACAGCACTGGTGACACCGAAGGCCCCACCACCGGTCCAACCGCACTGTGGGGGGACGGCAGGTTTCTAATTTCTTCCAGGCACGTTTTCAATTCCTCTTTAATTGTCTGTGCCTGATCTCTCCCTTGCGTATCTGTACCTGTACCCGTACTTGTACTTGTACTGGTACTTGCGTCTGTGTCCACAAGTAGAGCGTGTGCGAGCTTTAGCTGGAGTGCCGAGACGCGTGCGTGGAGCCTGAGGTGTACGCGTGTGTTCGTCTCGTGTGCTTCTGTGAGCGTAGATATGGTGGTGTCGGGGTTGTTGGTGGGCGACTGCAGCACAGTGAAGTCGCGGTTGTCTGCCAGGGCCTCGATGGTGGCTTCTGTTCAGGTGAATACAAGGGAACAAATAAAAATGTAAAGTTTAGGGTTCTAGAGTTTCAGGGTTCTAGAGTGGGCTCAAGGTTTTAGGGTTTTAGGGCTTTAGGGTTTGCATAAGTGCACGCGTGTGTGTGATTCAAGTCCGGTTGTGGAGGAATAATTAGTTATTCTTTGTAGGAGTCTGCAGCACGGTGAAATCCAAGCGTCTGCCAGGCATCGATGGGTAGAAAAGTCTTCTGATTATGTATATATAGGAAGTAGTCCGGAAAAGTTGGAATATGTAAATTAGATACCACACACAGACATGCTTATGCTTGTTTGTGTAGGAGCGTGTATGCACAGTCATATGTACACTTATACCTATTAAATATTTGTATTCATATATGCCTATATAGACGCCAGTATACGCAGAAGATAGTTACTTACTGTCTGATACTAGCGTTGGTGCTTCTCGCAGTGCCTCCAGGGCCAAAGCTGAAGAACCTGCGGACATGAATGCAACCCACACATCGTCTGTCGCCACTTGGCGTTTCAGAAGTGAGTCGAGGCGGGCTCTGAAGCGGATGAACTCTTCAATCTGGGTATTTTAGATACAGGAAGCCAAAAAAGCTATATGAATAAGTCAAAGAAGCCAAATGCATAAGCCAAATGCATAAGCTAAATAGCCAAAAGCGCAAGTCAAAAAGCCAAACGCATAAGTCGAATAAGCTAAATGCATAAGCCAAATAAGATAAATGTATAAGCCGAATGAGATAAATGCATAAGCCAAATTATAAATGCATCAGCCACATAAGATCAATGCATCAGCCAAATAAGCCAAATGCATAAGCCAGAAAACCAAATGCACAAGCCAAAAAGGCAAAATGGGCAAGCTTAATATGCCAATTGCATAAGCCAAATAAGTCAAATGTATATGCTAAATAAGCCAAATGCATAAGTTAAATAAGCCAGTGCATAAGTTAAATAAGCCAGTGCATCAGTAATTATCCCGAACTCTCGGGTTTAGGTACAGGTATTTGGCTTATGACACGCAGTGTGAGTGAATCTAGACGCAATAGAAGTACGCGGATCTGGGTTAGGAACAAATAAAATATGCAATCAGGCGGTGAACAGAAACTTAAGACCAGTGGAGCATACAGCGACCAACCACCTCGAAGCAACAAATCAGGTGGTAGTGATTTACTAACAAAAGTGCCGTGAGGGCGTATGGGGCTACAGAATGTATGAATATCATGATCAAGTTGTTTGAACAACGTAAACGTGTAGAAAACACTCGTTGCTAGGATGAACCAAGCATACGATTGAGATACATAGTGTGCACTGACAAGAATACCCACCTTGGAAAACGTGGAGTGTTTGAACGCCTTCACAACCATCTCGGGCACTTCCACTGTGTTGTGTCTATAAATAGTCACTGTGTCCTGATTGGTGGAGCGTGCCAGTTTATAATTAGCACAGCTCAGCAAGGCCGGCTGCACCAGGTAGGAGAGAGTGTCGTGCATCACGTACTTTATGTCCATTGATTTGTACGCTTTGTGGGCGGGTTCGGCAGCACCTGTGTGGTTTTAAGGTGTTAGGGTGCTAGGGTTTTAGAATTAAGGGTTAATGTGTTACGGTTTTAGGGTGCTAGGGTTTACGATTAAAATTTGTTTACGCAGTGAATATACAGACAGTGTCGTCTGCAGATGGGATCGTATCGTTTAATGTACGCTGTGTGCATCTGCATGCTTGTAATTACCTATGTAAGTATGTCCATATGTATATCGTCTTATACTACAGACGTGTGAGATCGTATTCAATACGTTGCAAATGCCTGTATGCTTGTAAGGATACGTACGGGTACCGATTGCCAGGCTACGAGGAAGTGACATGCAATGATACATCCATTCATACATAAATAAATATACACACACTCATATATATATATATATATATATATATATATCTATATCTATATCTA